AGAAGGAAATTACCAGCAAAGACAGGGGATACTAGGAAGGCCTTTTCTGCCTGCATGTTTCTGAAAAATTGAATTATTTATATTGCGTTATGTTTAGCAGACACAAGTGACAATCTAGCTTACTCTTGATGCATCAATGTTCTCAACGAGCGCGCGTAGTTTCTCGTGATCACCAACTGATGTCCGAAATTGACCGTCAGCATAGACATGGTACGCGGTCACTTCTTCCTGATTGCTGGGGGTGAACTCCGGGGCCTTCCAGCTGATGATTACACTGTGAACCATCTGCTTTTCCAATGCTATGCCTCGTGGAGCTGGGACTGGAGTGAAAGAAGCAGTAATAATTTTAAATATGTCCCTTTCAATTGAAAATTGAATGAAATGAACTGAATGAAAAATTTAAAAAATATATTTGGAAAACATCAGACTTTTGTCCCCGAACAACACAAGAATACCTGCACGATTAACTCTTGTTGGTTAAGTGTGCCATTCATGCGAAGTTCATTCAGATTATGTAAACTGCCGCAGTCATCCTGCAGTGTTTTGACGATGATCCTGCTTTGTGTCGGTCCCGCTCTTTCTTCGGTCAAGTTTCAATTGTCAATATGTAAAGCATGTAACAGTTTTCCTCCACTTAACGTTTAGCCCAAAAACACACCTGACTCACCTTTGCCTGAACCAACATTTAGAACTGCATTGTAATCAGCTGTATTTTTATTTTTCTCATTGGTTAGAAAAGTAAACACTTTAAAACTCGTAGTTTACTATGTATGCTAACAGTTACGGCTGGTTCGAACTGCCGCCGTATATCGATGGAACAGTTTTCCAACGAGGTGTGAAAAATGAAAATCATGTACGCGTTAACCACCTTCTGTAAAGTGAATCTACGTATAAACAAATTTTAGGAGCTGGTCGTTGATAACCATAAATAAAAATTCATATTTTGAGTATTTTCTCAGCGCTTTAGTGTCGTGGAAGCCTTGACTTTGGTTCTTTTCAATATTTCGTTTCAACCAGGCGTTTTAATTTGTTTGCTTACTCTTCGGGTTTAAACTACGATACTGCTGCGCAAACGTTATGATATGTATATGTACAACAGATGGCGCCAAGATTTTGAGGTTATTTGAGAGCATGGTACGTTCTTGCAACTCATATATGCCGAAATTTATCTAATTTTGTCTTTTTTAACTTTGCAAATTTTTGAGGTTTCGAATCTATGCAAGCTCCAATCCTCGGAGACAAAGCAGTATCATTAAAAATGCAATCAGTTCTTCCTGCAACACCACGCTTAAATCGCGTCTGCTCTCGATTGGAAATGAGCCAGCGGCATCTACCAAGGCGGGCGTTATGTTTTTTATGCGGTGAGTAGATCAAAACGCCGGCCAACTGCAAATACTCCAAAAGCCAACTGGCGGCGCACAAAAACTGTTGTGTTACGGCTCTGTGTTAAACAATGAAAACGCAGTGAAGAACGGATGCGTGCCTATGCAGCAAGAAAATTTCCTTC